TGCTGCGGGCCCGCTCCTCCGGGAGGGCTGTCACGGTTCCCGGCGGCCTCTGGCGCCGTCTCCGCGCCTCCCGGCAGCCCCGGGACGCAGTGCAGCTGGCGCGCCTGCCCAGGTCGGGGATGCAGGTGTGTCCTCGCCAGTCATCGCCTCAGAGGCAGCCGCTTCCCCCGCGGTGGCCGGTGGGGAAGGCAGACGCTGTGCTCTCAGGGCGCGCATGTAAATACAGAGTGAACCCCAAAGTGTGCGCACACTGAATAATTACAAAGGCGCCCTTGGTCAGCATACGTGCCATTTTCAAATTGAGCTCTCAGCTGTGAAAGCGTGTGTATTTGGGGGGGCGGGGGGACCCCTGTATGTGGTTTCAGAATGCGACCCAGTCGTGCAAAGGGAGGGAAAGACAGGGTGTCTGTCGGACCCTAGACGGGCCCCGGGCCGGCCTCGCTGGTGCCGTTGGTCCATTAGTAAACGTTCGCTTGAAAAACAACGAAGCCTCGCAGGTCTCACCACAAACTACCTCCTACCTGGCGTGTGTTACCGAAATGTAAACGCCTCTTTAACGCCGAACAGAGGTTTTAGCAGATGGATTCAGTTAGCGGGATAGCATCGCGCCCCTTGGCTCCTGCCTTTCGCGTTTCTAAGAATAACGTTTAGAAGGTAGGTTGGTTGGCCTGTTCCCCAGCTGACAGCCGTCACCCTCCCACTCCTCCACTCGGGTTTTTCTTTGAGGTTATGTAAAACAAGAAAAAGAAAAAAGAGCCGGCTAAATGCGACAGCGTATTCCGCGCTGTCGTACGTCCCGATGGGCTCTGTCCTCTTGTCAAACGGTGGGGTTTCTCCTCCCCGGGAGTGCTCACTGCAGCGGGTGCCTGTGCCCCCCAGGGCTCCATGCCATTCCTCGGGGGCAGCGAGGTGAAGAGCCGGGCCGTGGTGAAGTACTCCTCGGCCCCCCCTCGGGCAGCCTTCGCGCGCCTGGAAGAGAAGACAGACTTGAAACTGCCCCCTGCCAACTGGCTACGGGAGAGCGCCAAGCTGGGGCCCGCGGGCACCGCCATCCTGGGCACCAGTAAGAAGAGCAAGCCGTTTTCCAGGTGAGTGCCCGTGGGTGGCGTCTTCCCTGGGGCCGCCAACCCCTGCTCCGCCCGGAGCGCTGACACCTGCTCTTCCGCTTAATCGTCAGCTCCTCCACTGCGTGCGGTCTCTCTCTGGGAAAAGGTCCTATTTGACTTCCGGAGCCCGTCTTCCCCCTGCTAATAGGGTTATGTCGTCATCGGAAGATGCGGACGGCACATGCTTGTCTCAGGTCTGCACAACGTCTGAACACAGCTGAATTCTGACCCCTAGACTTCCATCAGATGTTTTGTTTTTAGCCTGCGTCCATGCGTTTTGCATATGTGAGCACGGAGCGTTAGGGTGGCGCCCGAAGAAGAAAACCCTTAAGGCGGCCTGGTCCGTCCTGTGGGGTTTTCATTAACACGTTAAGCGCCCAGCCTGTTTTGTCTTCCGGGAGGAAAGTATAGTGTCAGTCACCGGTGACTGGCTGGGCGCTTAACGTGTTAAAGGGCACGGGGTTGTCGGGTCTGAAAAGGCCTGATGCGGAAAGCCAGCATGTTGGTTGGGTGGCTTGAACCCTTGACTGACACTTGCTGGAAATGCTGCTGGTGGTACTTGAGAGAGTAGCCTGGGTCTTACTGAGAATGATGTATGAACGTCCACATTCCTGTAGACCATTGAATGTGTGGGGTCCTCCTTCCTCTCAGTGATTGAACCCAAAGCATTTCCATACAACATGTGGCAAGAGCCATACATACATTAATACCTTATGAGCCAGTAGGTTGGAAATTACCCTACTGCCACTGGAGTAGAAGTTCTGTTTACAAAATGGTGTTTGTTTGTAGCAATATTTCTACTAGCAAAAGTTGGAAGTAGTCCCGTATCTTCTTTTAGAAGAATGGCTTAGTAAACTAGGATATGTGAACACAAATGTTAGAAGGTGAGCCCTAGCCGGGCTGCTTAATTGTTAGAGCATCTGCCCTCTGACTGAAGGATTCCGGTTATGGGCAGGTACCTTGATTGCAGGTTTGATTCAGTCGGGGTGCGTGCGGGAGGCAACCAATCAATGTCTCTCTCACATCAATGTTTCTCTCTGTCTCTTCCACACTCTGTAAAAATCAATGGAAAAGGTGTCCTCGGTGTAGAGTGACAACAATAACAAAAATGTTATAAGATGATTTACATGGTAATTATATTGGCTGTGCACACACTGTGTTAAGTACTTTATACGTTGATGCCTTTAATTCTCACAACAACCTCTGAGTCGGGTACTATTACCTAATGTTCATACGGACAGACTGCAGCTCAGGGAGGCTGAGTAGCCTGCCCAGCCCACAAGGTAAACCATCAGAGCACACTTTGAAGTGCGGTGGTCCCAGGTAAGTGTCCTGGCTCCTCACTGGGAAATGCGGACATGGGCGCTTTTCAGGCGTGTGGGTCATGGATGTGCCTCGTGGTATCTGGCACGACATTGTTTTTCTTTTCTCCTGGCCGAATTGGAGCCGGTGTACTTGTTTTTCCATATGTACTTTAAAAGAGTAATAATGTATATCGCTAGGAACACAGTCCCAGACTCAAATTCTGATAAACGTTTGTTTCTCTTTTTCTTACCTTTCCACCTAAAAAGAATAACATCTTGAACTGTTTTCTCTTGGAGATTTTTTGGGTTTTACGATTACAAAAATGAAAAGAATTGTTCATTGTTTTTATTCTAGGTGTTTCCTATTAATTGCTCCTAACGGTTATTACTATATTTTATCAAATTTAAGATGCCACTGATTTTAAGTAACACCATCTATATATATAAAAGCCTAAGCGACCATTAAGACCGAACAACCGGAATAACCGGTTGACCAGTCGCTATGACGCACACTAATCACTGGAGGGCAGACGCTCAACACAGAAGCTCCCCCCAGGTGGTCAGTACACTCCCACAGCCAACCTCCCATGGCCCCTCCCCGCAGCTGGCCAACCTCCCATTCCCCCCCAATCCCTAGCCAGCCAGCCCCAATGGGCCCCCATCACTGGACAGGCTGAGGGGCCCCACCCGTGCATGAATTTGTGCACTGGGCCTCTAGTTATTTTATATGCCACTAAGAAGGAAAAACTAGCCAGCTGTAATGGTTTGAGGCATGCTGATTTCAGAGATGTCAGAATGTGGGAACTGTGTCCTTGAAGTTGACATTATCTGTGATAAACTCTACCTGCATCACTGTGAGCGTGACCTTTGTGGCCTTCGTTCCCTCCATTAGCTTTGGGATGGCGTACGACTTTATTGACTCCGTGGGCAACGATGTGGACGTTGTCTCTGACTCTGAGGTAAGTGTCCTGATGGGGAGGCCATCGGTGCTGGGCACTTACCCCAAAATCCTGTGCAGGACCTTGAAAACCTGATGAAATGAGACCACTGTCTGATTATCAAATGCCTTTTTTGTTAGTAAACAAACACATATCCTTTTTTTTTTTTTAAATATATTTTATTGATTTTTTACAGAGAGGAAGGGAGATAGATAGAGTCAGAAACATCAATGAGAGAGAAACATCGATCAGCTGCCTCCTGCACATCCCCCACCGGGGATGTGCCCGCAACCCAGGCACATGCCCCTGACCGGAATCGAACCTGGGCCCTTGCAGTCCGCAGGCCGACGCTCCATCCACTGAGCCAAACCGGTTTCGGCGACATATCCTTTCTTCAGAGAGGAAGGAATAACCCCCAAAACACTGGCAGTGGTAACAATACCAGTGTTGATGGTTATGTTTTTTAAAAATAGCAGTTACGAGTGATTAGAGTGTTTGGGATGATTTTGTATGTTACCAGTTGAGAATGAGATATGATGCTTCTGGCGAAATCCATGGCTCCTTAGTTGGTCATTTTTATCTGATGTGCTGAAAGCCTAGGCCGGTGCAAGTGTGACCGTCAGCTAGGTTAACAGGATGACTTGTAAAGTGCAGGTGATTGAGGTTTGGAAGAGCTGTCTTCCGTGTGTTTGCATTTAGCTTTCCGTGGGAAGTACAGTTTGTATAACCTTAGGGAAATAAAGTTTATTATGCTTTAAAGTGGAATGAAGTTAAAAATGGAATCACACTGAAAAAGGTCTTTCTAAACTCTTTCCTCTTCATTTTCTTAAGAACATAAAAAAGCTCCTGAAGATCCCCTACAGCAAGTCCCACGTGAGCATGGCCGTGCACCGCGTCGGGAGGACCCTCCTGCTGGACGAGCTGGACATCCAGGAGCTCTTTATGAGGTCTTCCCAGGTAGGACTCTGAACCCACCTGCACGCAGCATTTCAGCAGCCCGAGGGCACCAGAAAGATGGCTTGTTTCCAAGAAAGGCCAAAGTACAAACAAAGGAGTACTTCGGCAGCCAGAAGCCGGGTCTCACAGCGAATAACAAGTGGAAAGGAGAGAATTGGCAAGAAACTTACTGATACCAACCAGCAGAGTTCTTGCAAGGAAAAGAATGGAGCCAATGAAAAAGTGGTGAAAAGTCTGAAATTGAAGGGACTAGGTTAAATTTTTGAAAAACCCTTTCATGTCTCCTTTAAAGAGATTCTCATGAAACATGGCTGCCGGGAAATGTGGAAAATGTTGTTATTCTTCTGAATATATAATTATTATAATTAACTGGTTCGCTTAAAGCAGTGCCTCTCAAACAATGTTGATAAATGCCTGTTTCCCCCCCCCCAATGTATAGATGATGGGTGCTTTTGCACAAAGTAACCATGTTGCCACTTCCCAAGGCTTACCCTCCATGCCTGTACTTACCTTTGCATGCACTGTTTGCAAATCGTTCATGGTCCTACCAGTCCCATAGCTATTATTTGAAGACTATTCCTGCAATGCGTTGGTAAAGGAAGATAAGTTATGGTGACTTACATTGAATACGTATTTCTGAAACAGTATTCAAAAAGTAAAGAGTACTTCCTGTAAAGAGAGTAATGGGTAACAAATTGTTTTGACTACATGTTTGTTGTATTGATTAATTTCTTATGTTATTCAGACTGGTGATTGGACGTGGCTGAAAGAGTTTTATCAGAGACTTATTGATCAGAAGTGGCAGAGGAAGAAAAAGAGCAAAGAGCATTGGTATCAAAAGGCTATTCTTTCCAAGTTTTTATATTACAGGTACTTGGCTATTTGTTTATTTTATCTTAAAGAGGAAAAATTAAATTCTGATCTAAAATTTAATTTGGAGCCAGGAAAAATAATAATTTAAGGTTTGCCACTATGGTATTGTTTACATTTCATTGTCTTATATTTCTTTTTTTTTTTTAAAGTAAGATTTATGCTTGGTTATAGAGTCTGGTTTTAAAAAGTAGTAGACTTGCATGAGCTGACCCCTAGTGACAGTGTGATATTTTTCTATTTCTGATGTGGCCAGTATCAATGGCGATGGAGCCGCACAGCCCGTCCCATCTGCTGCAGAGCAGCGGGAATCATCCAGTTCAGACCAGACAGGTGACTCGGACGGGGCGTCGTGGCCCGCCCCCTTCGAAATGCCTTCTCCAGTTTCCGAAGATCCCAGTGCTTCCAGTCAGGTAAGTTAGTACTCTGAGGCTCACTCAGCAAACTCATTTAAGAAGACAAAACCAATGATCTTGCCAATAAAAATAGGTGAACAGGAATACAAAATATTCTACCAATTTATGTCTCACAATTATAAAATCATACTTCTTTTAGTTTGTTTGTTTGTTTTTTTAGGAATTTGCAGGAGATATGAATGGCTAGATCAGATTTTCTTAAATTAAAAATTTTAAATATTTAAAAAATGTTCTCAGCATTTAACGTAGCTCACCAATATGTTTATCAATGCTGATTATCTCCTTAAAGTCATCAGAGTATTATAACATATAATAGATACAGTGATGTAGTATATTTTAAACTTTAGGTGTAAAGCAAGTGCCTATCAAATATCAACTCAGAGACTCGGTTGTAATTTAAATACTGACTTAACTACTAGTCTGATTTTTAGGGCTAAAAGCACCCTTAAGATTTTCTGGATGAGGTTCCTGAGGTTTTAACCCACAATAATGTTATGAAGCTTTTAGTAAGGAAGAGGGAGTAGAATGTGTTGTCTCTTTTTGTCTCTTATATTCTTGGTTTCTTCTTGTTGCTTGTTTAGTTTTGTCATTGTTTCTATCAAAGTAAAAAAGAACTCCACAGGTGTGAATTGTATATGTCTGTTTTCAGGTAAATCTATTGATAAACTTAAAGGAGATAAAAATAGGATCTTTAACTTGGTAAATTATTTTTCCTCTTGCTCTGTGTTCTCACATATTAAAAATTATTCACCCAGATTATTGCTATCTTTACAAATTATAGGATTACGAGGAGGCAAATATGTTTAACTTGATTTTAGTTTTTGTAGGTTTTAAGTTGGAAAAACCTTATTAAACTATGTAATGAATTCAGATTTCTCCCAAGTTGGGAAAAACTGAGGAAAAGAAAGGAATTACCATGCAAGGTGACAGTGGGAACCAGCAGGAGGGGGGTTTGGTGTGGATGAAAAGGGCATGGGGGCTGTGTATGCACAAGGCCGTGGGGACTGGTTACACTGGTATAAACACAGGATGTATTAATTTGCTTTGTAGTTAGCCATTATGTTGTATTTATTTTATACACTTTCATGTATATGATTATAGTTCACCAAAGGAGTTTTTAAAAATTCTTTTTATATTCCTTGACTTCAAAACCCACGCATTATAAAAAGACACAGTAGAAATACCAGTCTCCCACCACCCACCTCCCCTTCCCATTCTGTCCTTACCTTGTAGAGGGTTCCCTATGAAAGACCCTGAAGGCTGTTGAGAAGCTGTAGACTTGCATGTGGAGGAAGTGAACTGGCATCTAGTTAGTGCCTCTTATGCCCTGCACTTTACGCCATGGGTATAAAGTACTGCATACGTGTTATGGTATGTGTTCAATGTTGATGGTGTCCTTTTACAAGTAAACTAAAGCTCATAAAGAGCAGATGTTTGTCCCTGGTCTCATGGCTGGTGAAGTCCAAGCTAGTGTTCAGATCCTTGTGACTTCAGAGGCCTGTTCTTGAGCCGTACTCCACTGTGTCCACATGTTCCACGCGTGTTCAGGATGGCCTCAAAGCAGTCAGTTGTCTGAGCAATGCCATGTGCCGGGAAGAGCTCTCCTGCCATAAATATAATCTTTCACAGAATATTTTTAGAACATATTATACAGCCTAAATTTCAGCATTTAGAGATTTATTTTTGTCTGCAAGCCACCACCTTATGAATTCTTGTTCCCCAAACCTAAACCACTAGTTTGAGGCCTGGGTTAAGCAGTATTAGAGTTGAAATAGGTGAAATAGTTCTCTTTGTAATGGCCTGAGAGCCAGATCTTTGTTTGGAACATCATAACCTAGAGCCCAAACTCTCATTAAAGCACCTACCTGGCAAATACGATTTTGGGAGTTGGTCCACAGGTAAATAACTTGTCTGTGTATAAATAATAAAGTTTGAAGCTCTATAGTATTCTTTAAGGACACAGCAAAAGTACTGGAGATGGATGCATGCGCGCACACACACACACACACACACACACACACAACCTGTGCGTACAGTCACGTGCGCTTCTTTGCAGGCAGATGCTAAGCCTCTTAGCATCCACCTAGGATGAGAAGTGAGAGTTCATGGACTATGGGGCGTGTGCACATAAGCATCCCCATTCTGGGGACTGTTGTGGCATTGACATTCGGTTTAAAGTAATGTGTCTTAATGGCAGCTGCCTAATGATTGGAAAACTGGCTGGTGGGCTGAGTTTACCACTGTCAAAAGTTCCTCTCTCTAAAAGGGTTTTTCAAAGTACAGTCCACAGGATGTATTGACTTAAACGTGTCCTGAGATGAAGTCAGTTTGAGAACATTGGTCACACAGAGGGGAAGTCGATTTTCTACTACAGAACCTCTTAGAGACGCGGTTCTCAACCTGTGGGTCGCGACCCCTTCGGCGGTCAAACGACCCTTTCACAGGGGTCGCCTAAGACCATCCTGCATATCAGATATTTACATTACGATTCAAAACAGTAGCAACATGACAGTTATGAAGTAGCAACGAAAATAATTTTATGGTTGGGTCACAACATGAGGAACTATATTTAAAGGGCCAGAAGGTTGAGAACCACTGTCTTAGAGGCTTTTCCATGCTCGTGAGCATTGTTACTCTCCAGACGCAAGTCTACTGCGAGTAGCCTTTGTCACCACTCTGGAAATTTCTACCGAGTATCCCAGCACTAGTGGTCTGTGAAACACATTACAAATGCAAAACTAGAGGCTGTCATCATGACGGGTGTCTCAAAAATAGGGCTGGAGTTTCTCAGGAATGTTTTAATTGCATGGGGATGGGATGGCTAAAGGTTAATGGAATTGAAATTTACCCCCAAAAGAGAAAAATTTAAAACTTTGAATGCTAAAGTAATCTTTGATCTTTTCTGAGTGCGAGCTAAATGTGATTGGCTCGCTGCAGTGGCTGGGATAGCTGAGAGCTGTCGGAAGCCACCAGTAACGAGAGGTGGGACTATGTCTTAGCCTGATGACAGCAGTAGCTTTGAGGTGTCTGCTTTGAATGCTTAGGTGATACTCTTAACAGTAGGCCGTTGATAAGAACTCTGGCAGCAGAATCACTCCTATCCTTGCACTTTTCACAGGGAAGTGAGCCTCTCGAACCCTCATACATAGTGGGGCATCTGGCCTCAGCCCCCAAAGAACAAAACCTGACTACTTTATTCAATGACGGGGAGAACAGTCAGGTATGCTTCCCAGGGTGTCCGCGTGGAGACACCCAGCCCCAGCCTACTAGTCATTAAAAACTAGTCTCCGTTGGAATTCATAGGGGGGAAATCTACTTGATCCTGAAAGTCCATTTCTAACCAGCTCTGACCTTACAGCTCTGTCATGTTCACTTCGACTCCTTTGTCCTTTCTTTGTTCTAGTCTTTCTGTGGATTGGGGGAAATTACAGCTCTCCTGCTTATTATATAATTACCTTTCCAATTTTATTTTAAATAAAAGGGTCTTAAAAATGATTTTGTTCGGAATATTCTGTGGACGTTTGAAGATATACATATGTTGGTTGGCTCCAACATGCCTATATTTGGAGGAGGCAGATACCCAGCAGTCAGCTTACGTCTCAGGTAAACCCCGCTCGTTTTCCTTAAAACCTCTGTCCATCTGCTCGCACCTATCAATCTGGGCATCCCTCCCGCTCCTGCTAGAATTAAAATGCACAACCAAGAAGGAGCAATTCTCAGGGAATGCTGGGTGCCCTGGAGCTGGTTCTCCCTGGTTCTTGATGAATGGACTCAGAGGTCTTGTACTGGCCTCGTCGTACGTCTGAGTCTGCCACTTGTGAAAGTGGTAGAATTTATTTACGGGGCAGGAGGTGGCTTTCCAGCGGCCTGGTAATGCTCCAGGTGTGTGTGCTCACGTCAGCCAGTGTGTGTTCCGACTTGGGCGGCGGCGTGCATGGTGGGCAGTCTTCCCCGCAGGAAGGCTGTTGGAGGAGCGTGTGGTGGGCCCACAGCCACCTGCTGCCATCTTTCCTTTTGTTCCTACTGAAAACTCTTACGGGTTCCAGTTAGAGAAGCAAGCAGAGCTTGTGCAAGGATGTTAAACAGAACAGCTACGTGTGCATATCTCATCAGCAAAGGGCTTATATGGCATTTCCCACGTAGGGAGCACAGATGAAAATAGTTAAATGGGAGAAATAAGTCTCAGGTGATTCATTGTGAAACATCTTAATTAAACCAAATAACACCAGAAATGTTACTTTTTAGGGATAACAACAAACCAATCAATGTGCTCACCGGAATTGACTATTGGCTGGACAACTTGATATGTAATGTACCGGAGCTTGTGATGTGTTTCCATGTAAACGGGATTGTACAGGTAAGACACAGCGCATCTTCTCATAACCTCTCAAGAGCAAATTGGTGCAGAAAATAATGCCTCACCGAAGTTTTTAAGGCCCGGAAAATCCCAGGTGTACTTTTTCGCAAGGAACATAGCCGTGAATAAACTGAAATTCGAGTATTTTCACATTTGAGTTGTTGGTAGAATTCTAGATATCATAGGAGGATAATTTTACAGGTAATTTGTGAGAAGGTTATAAATACACTGAATCTGCACTGTAGCCATAGAACTGTAATTTTAATGCCAGGCACCTATGGTAGTTACAGTGTCCATATAGTGGAGGTATTTATTCAGTACTCAGTTATCTACTCAGTATATGCAGTTTTAGGGAAAGGCCACAGTAATAGGTCGCTTATATAGCACATTGTTGTTGAGCATGCGCTGTGAGGAGGCACTTTGTCCCCATTATAAATGTTGGGGGAGAAATAGAGTGTGGTCCTGGCTCAGAAAGATAGGATCAGTGGGAGTGATGTGCAAAGAGGAAACGGGAGACTCTTCGCAGGGTAAGGGCTGGAGCGTGATGCACACACACAAGTCTGATGTTTGTAGCGGGTGAGGTCATTTCTCTTGTGATCTGAAAAACAAACTTCCTGGAAGTGGCATCTTAACTGGATCTTGAATGAGAGATAGCGTCCCCCAAAATACCAGATGGATCTTAAAAGACAAGTGTTAGTAAATGGGGGATTGGTCATCCGTCCAGTTAGGGAGCAAGCCTTCTGTAGCAGAAAGGTTGGGAAGGTCAGCCAAATCCCAGGGCCTTGATGCTGAGCTGAGTGTGGACTTGGTTCAGTTGGGAACCTGGAATTGGTAGAAGCTCTGCATCTGGGATGTGAAATTCGTGTGCTGGAGTATTAATCTGGGGATGGTGTGTAGGACAGCCTGGGAGGGTTTGGAGACAGACGGGCTAGGCATGTCTACTGTTAGGAGTGACGTCATGTCCTCCTACTACGTCATGCCCTCCTACTTAGTAAGTACTGAGAATTGACAGCAGTCATAATGGCTCGGGTTTATTGAGTGCTCTTTGTCCCAAGCACTTTGCTAAGTGCGTTGCAGGCATTGTCTTATTGGTGCTCATGTCAGCTCTTAGCTGCCCGTATGCTAGTGTCCCTTTGGATGGAGAGGGAGACTGGAGAGTCACGGAGCTCAAGTAGTCACGCAGAGCCACATCGCTAGTGAGTGGTGGTGCCAGCATTGGAGCCTGTCTCTGCCCGTGGCCGTGCTCTTAGCCGTCGCGCTGCAGCAGGAACCCTGTGCTCTCCAGCCATCCACTTGCTTGAGCCAGTGTCTCAGGATGGAGGGGGTTTGTAGATGATTCCATTTGCACCGTCCCCCACATGGCAGCGTTGAATGAGAGCGGGGAGAGGAAGAGGGGAAGGGAATCCGGGCTCAGGCTCGGGAGCTCAGGGCCAGAATCCTGGTGGTACTGCCTGAGGTGGGAAGGTGGAATCTGTTCAGGTGGGGAAGGTGATGTGTTATCATTGGGCAGTTTGGGGAAAGCATTAAATCGCCCACTGAGCATGTTGAAGTTGCAGGCGTTAGAGAAGAGGGGACTAGAGACAGAAGTGGGGTGCCTCTGCCCAGATCCTGTTGAGTTCCTCCCCAAGGAACTGCATTAAACGAGAACAGCGGAACCTCTCCCAGGCAGGGGAACGGGGGCTTTCAGGCCGAGGGAAGGCGGGCCAGAAGCTCTGTAAAAACCAGGAGTGCGTGAGCTGAGCCAGGGATGAGCACCACCCTTAGGACTGGGATCCAGGTTCCCAGTTGGTTTGGAGTTCCTAGTCTTGGAGTATTTCAGAAATGTGGGCAGAGGAGTTTAGGGAAGTGTGACCAGAAGGCAAGCTGGGGACACAATGCAGAGGTGCTTTAAGAGCAGTGGTGGTGCTGTCCGTGCACCTTTACATATTGCTGCCCCCCGCGCCCCCCACCATCCCAGGCTCCATTTCTGTAAAGGAACCGAGTCCTGTTCAAGGGAAGGGTCGTGTTTCCTGGAGAAACTTCCCAAGTGCTTCTAGTGTCTAGGGCAGCCGTGGGCAAACTACGGCCCGCGGGCCAGATCCGGCCCGTTTGAAATGAATAAAACTATTGAAAAAAAAAGACCGTACCCTTTCATGTAATGATGTTTACTTTGAGTTTATATTAGTTCACACAAACACTCCATCCATGCTTTTGTTCCGGCCCTCCGGTCCAGTTTAAGAACCCATTGTGGCCCTCGAGTCAAAAAGTTTGCCCACCTCTGGCCTAGGGGTGAAGTCTGCCTCCGGTAACCCTCTTCCCAGCTGAGAGCCATCGGGGTAGATAGAGGAAAGGGTGCCAGGAGGTTTGTTCCAGGTGAGGACAGGAATGAGATCATGCCTACATTCGTGGTTCACAGTTGGGTGATGGCTCTCCCTTGAGAATGACTCCTGTGGTACGTGAACAGCGATGCTGACCCGGGGGTCAGAGTCCTCTGGGAGCCATCTCGGTCAGGCTGCACAGGTCTCTGAGTGCAGGGCTTAGACATGTGCTCGCTTTTCAGGAAGAGAAGTGTTGCTGCCGAGGTTTCTCTTAAACCGCCCTCTCTCTGTTTTATAGAAGTATGAAATGATAAAGACAGAAGAGATTCCCAATTTGGAAAACTCTAATTTTTCTACTAAAGTCATAAAAGACATTGCACAGAATATTTTATCCTTTCTGAAATCTAATTGCACCAAAGAAGGACATACCTATTGGCTCTTTAAAGGTGAGCGAATTCTTGAACGAATGATAATCCAGTGGATTTGAGTGGCTCCTGGAAAATGAGGTTCCTTTGTTTGTTTTTGCAGCGAGTGGCAGTGACATAGTGAAGCTCTATGATCTCACGACTCTTTGTGAAGAAACTGAAGACAAATACCAAAACCCGTTCACAATGCCAGTGGCCATTCTCTTATACAAGTGAGTGCTGTCGCCAGTGAAAACAAGGAAGAGTAGCCTTTCGTAAAATTGTGAAGTGCACAGCCACATCCCCCGAGCCAAGTATTTATATTTACACAACACACACACACACACACACACACACACACACACACACACACACACACACACACACAGTCTACACCAAAAAAAAAATTGCGGGGAGGGTAACTTTGGTTGTTTCTGTGGCCCTTACTCTGGGAGGAAAGGGGGCAGCCTACACTTGAACCTTGCAGAGAGTGATGAGTGGGCATCAAGGTGATACAAATGTTTTTTCAGGGTTGCCTGCAACATGATGATGAAGAAGAACCAAAATAAGAAACACTACGGAACTATCAGAACGCTGCTTCTCAACTGTGTTAAATTGTTGGACAAAAGCAGACACCCTCAAGTAAGAGTGACACCTGTGTGCTCTGTGAGAACAGCCTAGCGGTCTGACGGGTGTGCCTGGCACTGAAGCCACTGGCCTTAGTGTGTAGCTGCCACTCTGTGTCTGGGGGACGGGGCAGGGATGGGGGGGTGCCGGGGAGGGTGTTGGAGCCCCATGTGGCTGCTGAGCACTGAAAAGCTGCCTGCTTTGAGTTAAGTGCGCTTTCAGCGTGAAGTACATCCTGGATTTTAGGATCGTGTGTGCACACATTAATGTGTTAATTGAATCAAAGATAATATTAAAATTAAGCCAGCCAGGCTGTGAACATGGCTGCTAGAAGTTTTGCCATGTGATGTGTGCTCATGTCGCACTCCTCTTGGCTAGCACTGTGTAAAGGGAGGACTCGTGTGTAGTGCGTTTTCCCTCGCTCTGTCACTCCTGGAAGGGGAAACCTCTTTTACGGTCTCTACGATCTGTTTACACAGACAGATCTTGTTAATCACTGTTAGCGTGGGTAAGGTTCACAGTCCATACATCAGTGTATAATAAAAGCATCTCTTAGAATGATCTCAGCCATGGGCCTCCCATTTTACACCCCCATGCCCTCAGTTGTCTGTATTTTTGGTGTAAGGTTAGTTGAAGCCTGTTTAAATCAAGGAGGTCTATAGTCTGTACCATTTTTTTTAAAAAAAACTCCAATATTTATTGTAGTCACATCCAGTTTAGAGATAAAGATTATTCTAGAGACCAAACCAAGACAAAACTTTTTTTTTTTTTTGCAGAAAAATGGCAAAACCATTTCTCACTTAAATATCTAATTGCTGGTTAAAGGGGTGGTGTTTGATGGATATTGAATAGTTTATGTGACAATTAGAAAATGGTATAACAACTATTAAATGTTATTAGAACCACTTAATAATAAATAATAGAATGGAATAAATAGTAATATATACATGCCCATTTTAAGAGATACCACAGTGGACTTTTTCCTCATTAAGCTAGTGGGGGGGGGGGGTTCCCCCGGGGCCATAGATTGCATAGTAAATACTAGTTGCCCATGTAATTTATAGCTTATGAAGAGAAATTCTTGTTTCTCAGTTGATAGGGGGGATACTTGCTAATGTAGTTACGACACTATACCTGGAGACTTACGTCTCCAGTGAAGTACAGTTGCCACCTTTTTTAAGAGAGAGCGCTGGGACGGGATAATTTCAGAAAGTAAACACACAACCTGGGAGAATGTCAGAGAGCCTCAGGGTGTTGGTGACGGGCGGGGCCTCTCTGTGCCCGGTCTGTGCTGGGGGCAGCCTGTGTGCAGAGCTCCTGGAGTGAAGCTCCTTCCACCTGAGAGTGCTCAGGTTTGATGACAGTCACACCTTTTCTTTCTTTTTATAAGATTATTGCTTCAGCCAATTACATGCTTTCAGAACTCTTTCAATTGGATGAACCTAAAAAAGAAGAAAGTTCCGAGTCTCCCTTAAATGAGAATTCTGATGAAAGTTACAGTGAGGAGGAGGAGGAGATGCCAGACAGCGATGAAAATGGGTCCTATTGCACCAGCTCCGACCCTCCCGATGACAACAAAGCAGTGGCCATCATCAAGTCTGTTGGAGAACTGTCAGTTCCAGAGAAGTACAAATCCATCCATCAGATCAGAGTAAGCATGTTTCAGTGTGTATTGAAGTGCCCAGTGGAAAAACAACAGTGGGTGAGTGCGCACAGTCAGCCTCTCAGAGGATGGCGTTGTTGCATTGTAACCAAGACCCCGGGCTCATGGAGCAGTTAGAGCAGGGGTCCTCAAACTACAGCCCGCGGGCCACATGCAAATACAAATATTGTATTTGTTCCCGTTTTGTTTTTTTACTTCAAAATAAGATATGTGCAGTGTGCATAGGAATTTGTTCATAGTTTTTTTAAAAACTATAGTCCGGCCCTCCAACGGTCTGAGGGACAGTGAACTGGCCCCCTGTTTAAAAAGTTTGAGGACCCCTGAGTTAGATGATAGTTAAAGACGGAGTGATGTGTAGTTACAGTTGTTCACAGAGGGAACACTTTCTGTCCTTCTCTGAAGCACTCCAAAAATGTCGTCAGTATTCACATAAACGTCTCTAGTTGGCTTGGCCTTCTCAGTGTCCCTTCTGTTAACCCTCACCTGAGGATATTTTTCCCATTGATGTTTAGAGAAAGTGGAATAGAGGGAAGAAGGGGGAGAGAGAGAAATGTTGATGTGTGACAGACATAGCGATTGGTTGTCCCCTGCATGCATCCTGACCACCTGGGCCGGGGATCGAGCCTGCAACCAAGCACATTTGCTTGACTGGAATTAAATCCATGATCCTTCAGTTGGTGGGCTGACGCTCTAATCACTGAGCAAGACCAGCCAGGGCTCTGTGTCCTTTTTGAAATGGAGCATCGTCCAGAGCCCTGGCCCCAACACAGACTCTGTGCTCTTGGACAGACCACTCACCTGTGCTCGCTTCTCTGCAGTCCAGTCAGCATAACCCAGCCTCTGGGGATTCGCCAAAAGGAAGTTCCCTGCAGAGGCCCTCCCACAGAGCACCACTCAATGGGTGGGGCCTGTTCCCTGGGCTTGCCCCTAAGGAGCATCAGGGATACAGTGAGACCACTGGTGACGCCGAACTTACTGCTCATTGATGGTTGTGTTAGCTGTGCTACCCAGTGTCCGTGCTGATTAGAAGTTGAGCTGACCTAGGAGATTAGGTGTACATTTATCTAAAACATTACTACTCACGTTCACTTTTTTGTTGAGTAGAATAATTTTTAACGTAAGTACTTAAAGCAACACATAGGCTGGGAGATCTTTTTGTTAAGCAGGATTTGTGTTGATGATGCTTATTATATCAGTTGAATCTGCAATTAAAACAGTACATTAACCTTAATACCTCACTAAGCTGAGTACACAATCACATTTTGAAATTATGATTTCTAGAGGTTTAGTAATTCCCAGGAACTGAGAGGTGTGGAATTTGTCACACTGGTCACATAGTAATAATTTTAAATGTTTGTTTCTGAAGCCCAGTTGTGCGTTTCCAGTTTGCCATGACACCGAAGAGCGCTGCAGACTGGTGCTTAGCTATGTTCTGGAGGTGAGTTTGTTGGTGTCTGAAGGCTTTCCTGCTGTGGGTTTTCTCTCTCCGAAGCATAAAGTGAAAATTAGCTTTTTCCAACTCTTTCAGGTCAAATGTTTTTAAAATATAAATCCTCCTAAATGCACTCAGTAGTCCAGATCCTGCCTTATGTTTAGTTTCCAGTTGAGCTTCAGTTACAGGCACAGTAACTGTGTCTCTTTGCTTTAAAGGGTTTAAAATCTGTGGACAGCAGCATTAAGAAGGAAAGCGACCTCCCTGCAGCTGACCCCAGCACCCCGATCCCGCTGAAATATGAAGATGAAAGCGCAAGGGGTGGTCCTGAGGGTCTGGAGAAGCAGATGGCCTTGTTTTTGGACAAAAGTAAGTTGAATTGATGTGCAAATCAGGCCTTTTCCGTAGAACAAGATGCTGGTCCTTCGCCAGCAGCCGACTTGTTTGTGTCAGTGAGGCATTCATTGCCGGACCAGGAGGAGAACGTGTGAGTGGAAAGGAGGGGAAATGTCTGGTCCTTCAAAGCACAACAGCGGATCGCTTTGATCCTCCCCGGGTGTCTCTAGTGAGAACCTCGGGTGCTTCTGAGACACCCCTGCCTCAGCGAGAGCCGAAGGGGTTTCCGAGCAGCCGGCCCAGCCCTGGCTCGCATGCAGCTCTGCTAGGCTCACTCCAAGTGAAGACAACAGTGTGCCCACTTCAGGGGGTCGGGACAGTGCCCTGGTAAGCCCTGCCCCGCTCCTAGCCGCTGTTGCCTCGGGGCAGTACCTAATAAGGCAGGGGTCCTCAAACTTTTTAAACAGGGGGCTAGTTCACTGTCCCTCAGACCGTTGGAGGGCCGGACTATAGTTTTAAAAAAAACTATGAACAAATTCCCATGCACACTGCACATATCTTATTTTGATGTAAAAAAACAAGTGTTTTCAACGGGCCGCAGTTTGAGGACCCCTGTAATAAGGGGAAGTACCTGATAAGCCAGAGCTGTCACTGAGAAGGTCATCTAACTCATTTTGGGAGCATCACTTCTGAAGAACATGTGGGTTTTGAAGTAAAAGTCTGAATTTCTGGTTTATTTTAATCTAAATTACATTTATTTTCCAACCTTATCCCCTCCCCGTTTAAAAATCTATTGCAATTTAAAAATGTTTTGAAAATCTGTGTGTTGGCAATAATACCCAGTGCTTTGGGAGTGTCTCTTCATGAACATAAAAGGGGGGAGTCTCCCCAGCATTTATGTAGCACTTCTGGGCGCCAGGCTTGAACCCAGACACGATGAGAACCGCCCAGGACGTAGACACTGTGCCCTTTCATGGCGCTTTTTCTGAAATGCCTTTCTGTCTCTTCCTCCTTCCCTCCCTCTCTCAGCTGTTGAAAACCCAGCTCCTGGTCAGGGTCTCCATGCTCCCCTCTGTGGCCAGCGGAAGGACTGGGTCCCCTACCCCTAGGCCTGCCTTCCCCCACCGTCAGCTGTGCTTGCACAGACACCTTAGTCAGCTCGGTGTTCTCACACGCCTCACACAGAGTGTGTATGGAGTACGGAAAAGAGATACATTCACGAGTAAGACCATAGTAGAGACTGTTCATCGCTTTGAAAGACTCGTGTTGTATCTGATCAAAATGAGAAATCTTGAGGCTGGGCGATGGGGGAGGCTGGTCCCCACGGCAGTTTGTTATGTGTGAGCTTGCATGTGTCCCCTGAAGAGGTTTATGGATCCGCCTAGGATAGAGGCCATATCACTTCATGTCGTTTCTGGTGCCTGGCATAGTGCGTGGCACAGAGTGATCATTGATTGGGTGAAGGTGTAAGAGGCTGGACTTGAAGTGAAGGCTGTTCTGCTAGAGGGAGTGGTCCAGTGGACGGAGGTGGGCAGCGGGCAGTCCCCTGGCTGTGACTGGTGGGGGAGGAGGGCTGGGTGTGAGACTGAGAAAAGGTGGCTCAGGAAGTGGGCTGAGATGCATATCACGCCGTAGTAAGTGCGAGAGGCTGTTTCAGTGCTTCAGAGCAGGGCTCCGCCGTGATTAAAGCCGGCTTTCGGAAGGCAAGCTTTCTGGCAGACTCGTGGGCAGACTGGAGGCAGGAGGCGGGTGTCAGTGGTGAGTGGAGTGACGGCCGCTGCTGCTGGGAGGCGGAGGCCCTGGGAAACGCAGAGCGTCTGTGGAAACAGTTTCCCTCCGTGTGGTTCCTTGACGCATGGTGTTCACCAGTCTTGTCACAACAGTAGCTTGGAGTGAGCCTGGAGTGAGCCTGGAGTGAGTGCTCTATTAAGATGCAGAAACTACTTGTTCATGGTGCCCCACGTGAACATGAAATGTGCTGCCTCTCCCCGTGTCCTAGTGGGCTCCCTGCAGAAGGGCAATTGCTCCAGCCAGTCCGGAATGACCCCTGGCTCCTGGCAACATAAAATGAAGCTCCAGCTGATCCTCAAGTCATCAAAAGCCTATTACGTGTTGTCTGACGCTGCCATGAGCCTGCAGAAATACGGACGCGCGCTCCGATACATCAAATTAGCTCTGCAGAGCCACGGTGAGTCCCTGCGGATGAGCATGTCACAAGCTTTGGGAGGGGAACAGAAGACATCTGTGTCAGTAAAATTTTACTCCTACTTCTGTTGTAAAATTTAATTTTAAAACCACCTTTTGCATCTTGGGTGTCATTTAGTATTTTCTGCTCCAAGTGGTTTAATGACATCTTCATTTTGAAATACATGAAGCCATGTTTGCTCTCTGGCATAAAATTAACTTAGAGTGGATACGGCTGGTAGCAGATTTTCTTAACACTTACTGTGTTCATGATGCACTTTTCCTCCTTCCCACTCTCCCCACAGACACTTACTGCTGCCTCTGCACCAATATGCTCTCCGAAGTGCTGCTGTTCCTCTCCCAGTACCTGACGCTGTGCGGCGACATCCAGCTGATGCTGGCCCAGAACGCCAACAACCGGGCGGCTCACCTGGAGGAGTTTAACTACCAGACGAAGGAGGACCAGGAGATACTGCACAGCCTCCACCGGGAGTCCAGTTGTCAAGGTGGGCGGCGGGACCCCGTGTTCCTGCACAGGGATTGTGGGAAAAGGGGCAGGCGTGTTGGTGCTGGATGCTGCTCTGTAAATTCCCATGCACATTTTAATGTGGAGCATGCACGTGTGTGCGCGCGCGCGCGCGTGTGTGTGTGTGTGTGTGTGTGTGTGTGTATAAAATGCTTTTGAAGTATTTTATAATTGTACTTATACAACTAGAACTAACTATAAACAAGCTCTCAGACTTCCTGCACTTGTCTTCCCCAGGAGGTTTTTCAATAAAACTGTAGTCCGCTGACCAGGCCATAATTTCTTTAGAAAAGCAATAGCATTGGTAGAAGTAGATGGATTACCTTCTGAATAATTCCCGAGGCTCAGACACTGAGATCATTTTTAAACTTAGTTCAGAGTTGGTAGTCTCACTAAATATGTCACTGTTTGGAGTTGTCTGATTTTTAAGCTGGAGACAGGAAAACGTAGCCCACAGCAGCAGGCCCCTCATTTTATTCTAGAATAAAATGTTGTGTGCTTTTTGACGTGAGAAAGGCTTCAGTGTGTTTTTCATTGGACTTATAATACATCGTTGTGAGAACGACATTCTCTCAAACATTTGGGTGGCATCAGGAGTTCTACTCTTTTTCCCCTTGAATTTGGGGCTCTGCACCCAAGTTTACTCCCATCCCCACTAGGTGGCGAGCTTGAGTCTAAGGGCCCATCCAGCAGCTTCTTCAGTGAGTCTGACGTTGATTGGCAAGCGTTATAGTCCATGAGCCCCGGTAGCTGCAGAGCTTTCCTGCAGGAGCTGCTCCCATTCATGAAAGAGCAAGGCGGTTCCCCTGTGTCAGCGGCTGCGTCAGGCCCTCACCGGTGAGCAGGTGCACCTGGTGGAAGCTGGGGCACGGCAGTTGGCTGGTATTTCTAGACAGGAAAATATTTCTTTTAATCAAACATTAATGTCCCAAGAAAATAATAGTTTCTTAAATAAAGAGATCTTTGCTTCGAAGCTTAAATGTTTAGTTTTATTGATTGAATCTTAGTATATTGCAATTACTTATTTTGTTACCTTAAAAGTGTCACATTACTTGGATACTAAGGAAGTAGGATTTGCATAATCACAGTGGCAACGTTTCCTTTCTTTTAAGGATTTGCGTGGGCGACTGATCTGTCTACAGACTTAGAAAGTCAGCTTTCTGTTAGTTGTAAATGTTATGAGGCTGCCAATGAAATCCTGCAGTTTAGTGACTTAAAAAGCCAGAATCCAGAACACTACATGCAAGTGCTGAAGAGAATGGGCAACATTAGGAATGAAATCGGGGTGTTTTACATGAACCAGGCTGCTGCGTTACAGAGCGAGCGAGTGGGTGAGTATGCCTTGGAGTCCGCTCTTCACTGCCTTTTTTGTCAGAAAGTCACGTGGATCTTGGCTCAAGCAAGGACTGTGGCACTTGGTTTTAAGTCCTGGAGTTGGGCAAGGCCTGGTGCTGCAAGTGGTGGCTGCAGGGTCTCTCTCTGAGGCGAGGAGGCCGATGGGAACGTGCCTCTCTGTGCGCTGCCGTAAGTGCAGGCGCATTGCGATGGGAGGGAGGCGTGTGTGGAAGTTTCGGTGACTGGGTAGGCTTTGGTGAGGTCTGAGCAGATGGGTACATGTCACGTAGGACGCCAGCAGGCAGGTGTGGGGAAGGGAGGGCTGTCTAGGCTGAGAGGCAGCCCTGGGAAGGAGCCAGGGCTGTAGGGTCGGTGGGTGTTTAGAAGGGGGCAGGATGCGCAGTTCCTAGGCGGGGAGAGTGCTGAGATAGAAGGCGAATAAGTTGTGCGTTTTTGACCTATAAACCGTGCTCGATGTTAGGGACAAAGAGTTTATAGCTAGTGGGGAACCTGTGCGTTTTAAGAAAAAGTCTTTACTATGTGTTACGTATGTTTATGGAGATTCAAGAACCTGTGCTTTGTAGTGAGTGAAGGAGCGTGGGAAGGGGAAGTCAGAGCCCTAGGAGATGAGGAAGCACAGACGGTGCTCTTAAACCCAGTCTTCCTAAGGCAGTGCCGTGCCAGAGGGCTTTACTTGCTGCTGTGGCACCAGCCAGCTGCTGCTGAGGGGGCTGCGTTTGAGTGTGCGTGGCTGCCATAACAGAGCCCCGGCGGGTGGCCTGGACCACTGATCCCGCCCACCCTGGAAGCGGGGGGCCAGGACCAAGGTGCCAGCCAGGTTGGCTTTCCCTGAGGCTCTGTCCTCGGCCACCTCTTCGCTGTGTCTTTTCTCCGTGGGTGTCCCTGGTGTCCCTCTTAGAACAGCTCCAGTCGTGTTGGGTTTGGGCCCCACAGTATAACCTCCTTTAACCTTAATTACCTCTCTAGAGGCCTCTCTCCAACACAGTCACGCTCAGCATGGATGTGAGGGTGAGGGGGCGCCCAGTCGGCCATGTCAGGTGTGGGGAGGGCGGGCGCTGCTGGACCTGCCCTGTCCTCAGGATCCATCAGGAGACCCAGCGGGCTTCCGCGGGTGCCTGCTTACACAGGTTTTTGTTTTTTCATGAAGTGAGCAAAAGTGTGTCGACTGCAGAGCAACAGTTGTGGAAAAAGAGCTTTTCTTGCTTTGAGAAAGGAATTCACAACTTCGAGTCAATTGATGATGCTACAAATGCTGCCCTCTTGTTATGTAACACGGGAAGGCTCATGCGGATTTGTGCACAGGCGCACTGCGGCGCAGGGGACGAATTTAAACGTGAATTTTCACCAGAGGAAGGCTTGTATTATAACAAGGTAACACATTTGCTCATGGGTTCATCCATTCATCCCTAACTGCCACTTACCTTTGCCATTGCTCCACTAAAACACCATAAAACCAAAGTAATGAAAACCCTGGGCTGGCCCAGGACTAGACAGATACTGGGAGGCTCACACAGGCCTGAGGGTACTAGGGACTCGGGACTGGAGATGACACTGGCTTGGCGCGCAAAAGGTGATCTTCGGTGAAGTGTGTTGCATAACCAGAGTAAACGTCAGGTGGATTAAAGATGGAAATGAACAGGTAGAACTGTAAAGGTACCAGGGGAATCAGCTCATGGCTGGGCAAGGAACTTTCCCAGCGTAAAGAGCAGAAATCACAAAGTAAAAGATGGATCAACTTAAATGTGCAAAAATACAGTTTTTAAAGGACACAACAGAAAGCAAAATCGAAAAGCAAACCACCATCTAGGAGAAATAGCACAGGACAGATCCAAGGTTAATAAACTCTTGGTGTATAGAAGCTAGGAATCATTGAAAACACATTGTCCCCATAGGAGGGAGGACAAATGAACTTGAACAAGAAATTCGTATGTGTAGAAAAAGTAAATGTTTAATATGGAAGCAAAATTTCAAAATTTTAATTTTTACGGGATTTAAAATGTGAGTTTCTTTTACTGATTAAATTATCAAGTAATTTTTGGCAAGTGGTCACACCCAGTGCTGGAGAAGGTGCCAAAGCAAGCACACGTTTAACCGAGTACAGGGAGCCCCCCTTGTTTACAAAAGACCTACATGGAAGCCCGCTTTCACTGCCAGGAGAAACCTGAAGAGGTTTCTGCTTTTAGAATGAAGGGAAAAGTGAAAAAAGCATTCAGCCTTTGCTTTGCAGTGAGCTGTTACTGAGGCAGTGTGCGCCCCAAGCCCGAGCACCCTCCCAGCTAGGCCCCCTCCCGAACCACACTCAGCGTCTGAGCTGCATCTCCGCTGACTGCGTCCCTGAGTGAGCTGTGTCCTGAGGGTCAGAAAAGCCTAGGAGAGCTCAGGGTGTGACCCTAACGTAACCCGTGCGGAATGAAGCGCTTTGATCATAGTGAACGGAATAAAAATACACGCAATGTTAGGTCGGGCAACCCTCAGAAATTCCCTGTGTTAATGGTGATTGCGTCTTGTTACGCCATGCGGCTTACCAGGGATTTCATGGGAGCACTCTGCTTCCCAGTCCAGGGGAGCCTGTACTTCAGAGCTGCATACATTTCCTCCGTGAGGCCTGTTCACAGCGCTGCCTTCCTCCCCAACACGGTCCTTCCACACGTCCTCTCCAAAGCCAGTCAGCACCCGGGCCTGGGAAGAGGGGCGCGTTGACGCGATTTCCTCCGCCCAGGCCGTGGACTACTACCTGAAAGCGCTGAGGTCCCTGGGAACACGAGACAGACACCCTGCCGTCTGGGACTCGGTGAACTGGGAGCTGTCCACCACCTACTTCACCATGGCCACGCTGCAGCAGGACTACGCGCCGCTGTCCAGGAAAGCACAGGAGCAGGTACGTGCCGCCGGGCTGGGCAGGAGCCTGCCGCCGCGTGAGCCTCTGACAGGTGCTGAGCGTCTTGCCTGGGAGCAGCGCTTCATGTGCTTCACTTTCTCATATAAAGTCAGAGGCTTGTTTCTTTTATCCCCCCCACACCCCCCTTAAAACTAGATTGAAAAAGAGGTCAGCGAAGCTATGATGAAGTCCCTGAAATACTGCGACGTGGACTCGGCATCTGCCCGCCAGCCCCTCTGTCAGTATCGAGCTGCCACCATCCACCACAGGCTGGCGTCCATGTACCACAGCTGCCTGCGGAATCAGGTACTGCCTCTCCCGGTTCCGTTCAGGGCCGGGTCCGCTTAAAAGTATTCCGGGTGCTTTTCTTATGCTTCAGTATCTACTTCAGATGCCTCCTGTTCTATTAGCTACTTAGAAAAAGTTGGCGAGTAGGCATTTTCCCCCCCTTATGCCACATATTTTTCTGTACTATAATCAATTGGGTCTTAGTTTGCAAAATTATATATTTGCCTGGGACAGGCCAATGCTCTATCCACTGAGCCAAACCGGTTTCGGCTGATTTTTAAAATGTAGCTAGGCTTTGTAAGAGTAGCTTTGTGTAAATCTTGAAGTACCCATTTCCCATCTTCGAAATTTGTTATTGTGAAATAGAGCACGTAGGGACTTACGGGAACGTGTACAGGAAAGAGTCCCAAAAGGAAAGCCCTGCGTGCTCGGCTTGAGGTTGAGGGTGGAAGAGTGCTACAGGGCCCCTGGGTGCCCCTCCCTGTGGAACCTCCCCACACCCACAGAGTAGCCACCATCCTGCATTTTCTGTGCCTTCTCTGTTTTACCACTTAGACAATAGGATCTTTTTTTTTTAAGAGCTTTTGTTGATTTTTAGAGAGGAAGGGAGAGGGAGGGAGGGAGGAACAGCGATCGGTTGCCTCCTGCACAACCTCAGCCGGGGATGGAGCCTGCAACCTGGGCCTGTGCCCTGACTGACCAGGAATCAAACCGGCAACCTTTTGGTGCACAGGACAACGCCCAACCCACTGAGCCACACCAGCCAGGGCAGTGTGTACACATTTACCTGCTTGTGAACGGTGTAGAATGAGCTATACTGTGCGTTCTCTTCTGTGGCTTAGTGGCCTTTCCTTAGCATCACGTTGAGGTTCCTCTAGGTCAGTGGTTCTCAACCTTCCTAATGCCGCGACCCTTTAATACAGTTCATGTTGTGGTGACCCCCAGTTTCATTGTTACAAATTGAACATAAAGCAGAGTGATTAATCACAAAAACAATATGTAATTATATATGTGTTTTCGATGGTCTTAGGCAACCCCTGTGAAAGGGTCGTTCGACCCCCAAAGGGGTCGCGACCCACAGGTTGAGAACCGCTGCTCTAGGTGGTGCATGTGGCTGCTCATTTCCTCAGCGCAGTAATCTTCGTGATTACATCACGGTTTGTTCATCCCTGCAGTGATCGCTGGACTTTTGGGTTGTTCGGCTGAACCTATGAGAACTAATCTCTGAAGAGTCTGTGCATGGAGCCTGGTGCCCAGGTGCCTGTGTGCCTGCGTCCGGCCCTGGAGGCCTGGGCTGAAGGGGCCTCCTCCAGGGAGGCTGCGTGCTCCTGCGAGAGTCCGCTCAGTCCCTCGGGTCGGCTTTCATTTCGTGGGCTTCCTTCCTTAGCTCAGCTCCACCGCTTCTCTGCACTCCCTTGGGCGAGGGTTCCTTCTGAGTTGCCTTTATTCTGAGATGATTGTCCTTGAGGCCCTTGACTCTCCCTTTGCCCCCAGGAGGCCCCTAACCACAATTCCAGTTTGCTCAGGTGGCCTCATAGTCTCAAGGCAAAAGCGAGCTTAACAGTCCAGGACAAGCCAGGGGGGAAGAATGGTCTTCTCAGCGAGTGCACTGAGACAGTGGCATCCATGTGCAGAACGGGGTTGACCCCTGAGTTACCCAGAAGTGGAACGAAGGCCTCAGTGTGGAAGCTAAAACTGTACACATACAGATACCGCCACTGAAATCACGCGTGGCCCAGGCGCAGCCCCGCCTCACCCCGCTCTCACTCCGCCTGTGGTTCCAGGTCGGGGACGAGTACCTCCGGAAGCAGCACCGCGTGCTGGCCGACCTGCACTATGGCCAAGCGGGGCGGCTCTTCCAGCTGCTCAAGGACACGCCCTGCGAGCTGCTGCGGGTGCAGCTGGAGCGGGTGGCCTTCGCCGAGTTCCAGATGAGCAGTAAGTCCCGGCTCCCTCCTCAGAGTGGGCATCGGCGTCGGGCTGGGTTCTCCTAGAGCCAGGCAGACCTGCGGTCTCTCTCGGGCATAAGGAGTGGGGTTTTTTGTTTGTCTTTGTTCTTTTTCCCACAGTCAGTGACTTTGGGTAGAGACCAGAGTGCCTTTTAAACTTAGAGAAATGGACTAGGTTCTGTTCGGTGACGAGAAATGTTGAACCATAGCCCAGGAGCCCATATTTGAAAAAAGTGGTGACAGGTCAGTTTAGACAAAGATGTAAGTCATCGCGGACAATTGGGATGAGGGAGCAGCGGGAAAGGAGAGGTGGCCCCTGACTCCCTGTAACACACCCCGATGCAGAGGCTGGGGGTGGGCTTCTGGAACAGGCCGCCTGCAGGCCAGCTCCCGAGGGCGGGGCAGGAGCTTGGTGGTGTCTGGTGGATGAAGTTTATTCGGGTCTGAGGGTAAATGGAATCCTGGCTCAGCTGGTCTGGCTGCTGTGAACAGCAAGTTGGTGGGACACCTGGTACTTGGTGCCACAGAGACTTGCCCAGCATCATGGGCCTGGTCTGCGGTGGGGTGGCCTTCGTGCCGCAGGCTTCTCCCGGCTGGTCCACTCGAACCAGACTCTCCAAAGAGCTGTGCTCGCTCAGCAGGACCAAGTGGAGAGGCAGGGGACCAGGGACTAGCTGTTGCTCTAGGCCAGTGGTTCTCAACCTGTGGGTCACGACCCCTTTGGGGGTCGAATGACCCTTTCACAGGGGTCGCCTAAAACCATCGGAAAACATATATTACTTTTTTTTTTGATGAGTCACTATGCTTTAATTATGTTCAATTTGTAACAATGAAAATGCATCCTGCATACCAGATATTTACATGACGATTCATAACAGCAACATGACAGTGATGAAGTAGCCACGAAAATAACGTTATGGTTGGGGGTCCCCACAGCATGAGGAGCTATGTGTGTTAAAGGGCCGCGGCGTGGGGAAGGTGGAGAACCGCTGCCCTAGGCAGACGCACACTTTCCTGGGGTTGTTACTAAGGAAGGTTGGGGTTAGAAGATGTGCTTCTCTCGAGCTCCCTTGACAGCGTTTGACAGTCAGACTTGCTATTAGCGCAGCGACTGGCTGGGGGTCTAGATTCCACGCACAGGAACGACCACTTCGTGTTTCACACTCTAGGTCAGAATAGCAACGTCGGGAAATTGAAAACACTCTCTGGGGCTCTTGACATCATGGTGAGAACTAAGCACGCGTTCCAGCTCATCAGGAAGGAGCTCGTGGAGGAGCTGGGCCAGGTAAGGGAGAAGGGGGTGTTCTCTGTGTTCCATGTCTACGCTGAGGGGTGAATGCATGTAGCAGGCATGTGGGGGCGTGTGTGTGTGTGTGTGCAGGGTGGGCAAAAGTAGGTTTACAGTTGTCTGTATGGCGAATAATACAACAATTAACAAATACCAATACAAGAATCAGCTGTTTGGCTGCCCCACCCTGTATATACGAACATACATGTGTCAGCTCTGCATAAACACAGTGACTTAGTATGTTTTCTTGGTGGCATTGTTATTAACTCTTGAAGTTGCAGTGTATCTTTTACATTTTAAAAGAACCACTTAGACCTTGGTTAGGAAGGCCCTGGTGTTCAGTCTGTTAAGTTTTGCTTTTGTGTGTGTTTTGTTTTTCTAAGAGAAAGAAGGGCCTGTGCCCTCTTGTAATTTCTGCTAAACTGCCGGGAGCAGTGGGGCGGTGAGTGGGCTGAGCAGGCTCGGGGGGTGCCCTTTGGTGTGTGGGCTTCCGGCATCCCTGCTGCTGCCACCCGAGCGGGAACCTCCCCGGGGCCCCGTGCTGCCCCGGCCGGCGGCTCTCCTGTCCCCAGCTTGTCAGGCCCTGTGGGGACCCATCGCCATTTTGTTCCTTTTGCATCTGATGGTGGAGAGTTAGATCTTCGTTCAGGGTTAGTTTCTTCTTCGTAGGTGCCTGTGAGTTGTGAGATAGTTTGTGTTGTGTTTGAGCTCATTAGAGTGATGCTGGGAGGGCAGAGGAGGAGATGCTGCTCACAGCCTCTGCCTCCGCCGCCACCGCACCCATCGGCCGGCCCTGAAGAAAGCTGGGCGCTGGCCGCTGGTTTTCCTTTAAAGCTGCTGGGTTCATGGAACCCAGTCCCATCGCTTCAGCGTGAACTGTAGCTGCTGGGAAACTTGGTGAGAAACTCCCTGTTTGCAGCCCAAGAGTGAGGAGCCGACGCCCGTGGCCGACGCGGCGCCTGGTCTGAACAGAGAGGAGGTGCTCAAGCTGCTCAGCATCTTCGAGTCGCGGCTGGCCTTCCTGCTGCTCCAGTCCATCAAGCTGCTGTCTCCCGCCAAGAAGAAGACAAGGTGAGCGCGCGTGCGGGTCTCCTCCTGCACCTGCCCGCGGGGCGCACGGCCGCCACCCCGACGCTGGGGAGGGACGGGTGTGCTCTGGCCCGTCTTCCCCGTGGGCGCCCAGGACCTGGGGTGGGTATTCAGTGGGAACTGCAGGAACCAGCCCCGGGGTCTTCACACAAGCTGCGCCAGCATCGCACCAGGTGGAAGCGCAGTGGTCCTATGAGTCGGGTCTGGGCTGCAAGTCCGAGGGAATTCTTGCTCCAGGGAGGCAGCCCCCAGATGCTTCCGGTGTGAGCACCGGCGGAGGGAGCTCCCGGCCAGCCTCTCCCTGGAGTTCCTTCCCAGCGTGTGTCATCGGACACTCCTTCCTGCGGGGCAGTGCTGTCTGCCCACCTCCACCCCCAGAGTGCAGAGGCCGGGAGGCAGGGACAGGCCGGCCGCTCTACTCACGGCCAGGAGCATTGCCTGTACATTGTGGCAGGCACTCGATTGTGTAAGGAATGGCCTTGGTTTTCATTGCTGTGTTGAAAGGAATGTCTAGAAACAGGCCCAAGCCACAGATCCCCAAGGTGTGGACGAGGCATGACTGGAGCACCTGCTCCCTGCAGACACGGGACTGTGACGGGGGGTAGGGAGCATCACTGTTTACATCCCTTTTTGTTTTGTCCTGTTCTGTTCTGTTAACCCAGCAATAACGTGGAAGAAGATGTGGCCCTCAAAACCAACAAGCACATTTACTCCCAGCTTCTGAGAGCGACCGCCAACAAGAACACGAGCCTCCCGGAGAGGATCGACGTCCTCGTCCACCTGCTGGACCAGCTCGCGCGGGGCAGCGCCGTGCAGTGACTCGCCAGGGCCGCGCCCCAGGTGCCTCGTCCGTGCCTTCTGCACTCGGCCGGTTTGCCACTCGGTGCTTCGTTATTAAACGCGTGGGAGGTACCCGCTCCGGTGGGCACCGCGCGGCAGCACAGCGTCCTCATTCCCCACAGATGGGGCCGGCGAGCTCCGCTCCCGCCTGGGAAGCGCCGGAATCAGTGAGACGCAGCTCCGCGCTGCTCTCAGAAGCGGAGGTGTGGTGCCGTCACACTGTAAGTGTTGTTGAGTCTGTTAAGCTACGTGGGTTTCAGACACAATTCTTTTGGATAAATGTTACGTTCGGTCAAGGGGACCTTTATCCCGGGGACGTCGGTGGTCATGTGGTTAGAGCCACGGAGTTTCTCTCGGAACGGCACGGAAAGAAGTCGTCTTTCTAAGCTTCAGTGCGGAGTTTCCGAAGACCAGCCGTTGTGCAGTTCTCTGTGTTAGTGCGTGTTCTGAAGGACCCACTTCTCTTTAACTTGGATAACAGTTGACCAAGAATAGGTTCTACCCCCACTTTTATTTTAAACTTGAAACTGTGAATAAGGTCAGAAAACTATTTTGAATAAATAAGTTATTTATTTAAAATGTCTTTGTCTTTTTTCATTTCACGTTGTTTACATCAAATTTTGATTTGAACTGGTTTGATTAATAAATTTTACAGCCCTAACCGGTTTGGCTCAGTGGATAGAGCGTCGGCCTGCGGACTGAAGGGTCCCAGGTTCGATTCCAGTCAAGGGCATGTACCTGGGTTGCAGGCACATCCCCAATAGGAGGCGTGCAAGAGGCAGCTGATCGATGTTTCTCTCTCATTGATGTTTCTAACTCTATCCCTTTTCCTTCCTCTCTGTGAAAATTCAATAAAATGTACTTTTTAAAAAAAATTTACAAATTAAGATTTTAAAAGCATTAAAAATAAGGCTCTGCCATCCACTGACTTCTCCCTGGACTTCATACGTGTCACGGTGACGTGGCTCCCGGCGGCTGCACACACACCGCCCGCTCTCCCGGGTCTGAGTGGTGCTGTGCTCGTCCTGCCAGGGTGACACGTAGACGCCATGCCGCTGTGGATGCGAGCGGCCTGGCCTGCATGTCCCCCGTCCACGGCCTTCAGTGCCAGCCCTGGGTCGAACCTGCAGGCCGCCTGGCAGCCCCTCCGGCAACACCGAAGGAGGCTGACCTGCCCTGGAAACGGGGACCTGTTTCGAGCTGGGTTTCCACACACTGCGTCCTCGGGCAGATAGTCAGGGTCTCCCGACACCGCGCGGACCTAGCAACGCTAGCAGGCCTCTCTCTTGCCATTTGTCCACTTGCTTGTTGTTTATTTGCATTGTCCTTGGACAGATTTGCATCCATTTTCAAAAGTTAGTTGTTGAAGCAATTAATGTTTTGACTAAATGGTAAAGCAGTTGTGAGTCAGCCTTGTCTGCTCACTGTCCTTGCTGCGAGCACGCGGCATCGCGGTCCCCTGTAGTCAGCCTGGACTCGCGCGTGGACCTCTTCCAGTGGATTCCTGGTCAGAGAGGGTCTCTCCCTCTGCGGAAAGAGCCGGAGGCAGGCACCTGAGCAACACTCGTCCTGGCCGGTACCCGCGGCCGAGCAGCCTTTCAGTCCAGGGAAATTTGTCTCTAAGCGAGAAGATACCGGCCTGTCTTCCCTTGTCAAAGCGTGGTGTGCAATTCCTATGGGAAAGGTGCTTCAAAATGTTTTGTAATTTGATGATTTTAATTTAAAGCTGCTTCAAAGTGCTTGTGTTTTAGCTGTTCCTTTAAAAGAATTGTGGCCTTAGCCGGTGTGGCTCAATGGATTGAACATGGGCCTGTGAACTGAAGGGTCCTGGGTTTGATTCTCGGTCAGGGCACCAAAAAATAAAAGAATTGTGTCTGTGGCCTGATCATGGTACTGTCGGTCCTTTCCCAGTTCCCCTCTGTGCCCAAATGTCCCTGTCATTCCAGATGACACAGGGTTCTGTCTGTGTTAAGTGATGTCACGTGAAAGGTAAAGGGACACAGTGCCTGTCCTCCAGGTCACTGACCTGGGAAACAAGCTTACACGGTGAGCTCAGGAGCCTTAGGCTGGCAGTCCCACCCCGAGCGTGAGTGAACTGCCTGGTAGTGTTTCCTGCTCTGAGGGGCCAGCCAGAGAGCTGTCTGTCCAGGGCCCTTGGGGTGCAGGCCTGTTTTCAAGCATAGAGCACCCAGGAGTGGGCAGAGCGCACGGGCCCCGGCTGGATGAGGATGCCGGTCCAGAGCAACCCCCGCATTTGACCTTGGGCAGGACGCACCTGGTGCCCTGCCTGCCCTGGAAATGGGGGTGCGGGTGCTGGCCAACGTGCTGGGGCCTCAGCCACAGAGCCCTAACATCCGTGGGAAACAGACGGATTCCTCAGCGATTTTTTAACCTTTCCTAAAAAAATCTGTAAAATCATTTGGTAAAAAAAATTTTTCAAAATCAAATTGATTTTTAAATCAAGTATTTTAAAAGTTCAATCATTCTTTCTGCTTTGGTTTTAACTCGGGGCCCTGTTTGCTTCAGTTACTGAAAATCTGGTGAAGAGAAGTCGACTTTCTCTGAGAAGAGAAACCCTTTGGCTCTGTCCACAGGCTGCTTCCTCAGGACATGTTCAGGGTGGAGGTGTGGACATCACACACATCGAACCACTTCTCGGGGATGGGCTGCCGCGGGAACAGGCCGTTGGGAGGCAGCCCCGGGCGCCGCTGCCTGTCCTCGGCGCTGGCCACCCTCCAGTAGGCGCTGCCTTTGAACAGGAAGACGGCCCTGTGCGCGTAGGAGTAGTAGGCGGCGTCCAGGCTCCGGAGCGGGTGGTTCCGCGGCTCGATTGCGGGGAAGACCTCAGTCATCTTCTTCGGGGAAGAACCGAGGACTTGGTTTCTGTTGACATTGAACGCAAACACCTGCAGGGCAGAGAGCACGGCGGCCTTTCTGCAATCACTGGTCAGCAGCGAAGCACGCCTGTCTGTCATAGCACCACATTCCCTGGGCTCCAAGTTCTTAACATTGGCCCGGCCCGTGTGGCTCAGGTTGAGTGCTGAACCAGGAACCAGGAGGTCACGTTCGATTCCCCGTCAGGGCACCTGCCCTGGTTGCAAGCTCCATCCCCAGTGTGGGGCACGCAGGAGGCAGCCAATCGGTGATTCTCATCATTGATGTTCCTCTCCCTCTCCCTCTCCCTCTCTGAAATCAATAAAGATATCTTTTAAAAAATATATAAGGTTCTTAATTTTCCACATGATGGGGTGATCTGTCATTGCCATTTAGGCATTCACTAACAACAACCTTCTTTAAATTTCTTAATTCTTACCTGAGGATATATTTATTGATCATTAGAGAGAGGAAGGCAGAGACAGACAGACAGACAGACATTGATGTAAAAGAGAAACATGGGTCAGCTGCCTCCTGGAAAGTACCCTGATCGGGATGGACCTCCCGGGGCTCGGGGCACTGCTCGAACCAACCACGTCACCCGGCCAGGGCAGTGGCAGCACAGCCATTAAACAAGAATGTGGTCGCCTGACATTTCAGTCAGGGATGGTAAAAGCAACACCAGGCCCTGGCCGGTTTGGCTCAGTGGATAGAGTGTCGACCTGCGGACTAAAGGGTCCCAGGCTCGATTCCGGTCAAGGGCACATGCCCAGGTTGTGGGCTCAATCCCCAGTGGGGAGCATGCAGGAGGCAGCCAATCAGTGATTCTCTCTCATCATTGATGTTTCTATCTCTCCCTCTTCCTTCCTCTCTGAAATTAATAGAAGTATTAAAAAAATAAAAGCAACACCAGGCTGCACAGCCCCCGCTCACCCAGGACCCTTTGAAGAAGTAAATCAGCTGCTTCCTTCGGTCATAGAAGGCGGTGTCCAGGGGACTCGGGACGCCAGGAAACCCTTCGGAGATCAGCCGGGGGTAGCTGTGTCCTTGCTCATCTTCCGTGTAGGCCTGATCCCTGTCGCTGTCGTATCTCCAGTACCGACTTCCTGGGAGCCAAACAAAAGTGTTGCGTGGCTTATTACCGCTAAGTCCAAAAGGACAGAGCAACAGCTTTCCGTGCAGGCCCCAGCCGACCGAGGAGCCCTGCGGGGACTGTGGGAGGAGGCTGGACTCCCGCATCTGAGTGAGGCCTCCCTGCCATGAACGCTTTCCCTGAGTTATTTCTACACTTGACCCCAAGGGGTCCGGGTGTTGCCGATATCAATTACAATCAGGACTTAAACCACACCTACTCTGAAACATCCAAACTACAGAAGTCTGCCGGAAACCGTGTCACTGAACTGAAAGAATGCTTTGTATGACGTGAAGGAACATCAGGACTAAATGTATTCATGGGTTTCTTACAGCAGATCTTGCATGCAAAGTTCTGTCAGTCTGGCTGTTGCCTCGGGGTTAACTCCCGGCTCCCATTTAAAGCAACGTGGCTCTGTGCTGGGACTCCGGCTGCAGGGGAAGGAAAGGCAGCGCCTACACACACTGCTGCTCCGGGTGCTCCCCAAGACTGCCAGGCCCTCACCTCAGGTCCTGCCTCCCCCAGAACACTGACCCTCCCACCCAGAGCTGCCTCCATTCCTCGCTGCCTGGGCCTCGCATTCGAGGCTCTGCTGGGGCTGACCCTGTCCTTCCAGCCTCACCCATCGTGTGAGCGCCTGGCCACCTCCAGGGCACAGCTGCCTCATCCGCTCGTTCGCTCCCAGCCTCCAAGCCCCCCATGGCCCCCCACTCAGGGTCCTCTCCCAGGCACTCCAGGTCCTACCCCTTCTTCCAGTCTGGGCCAAGTCCTGACTCCTGGGGCAGCTTCCGCACCTGATTTGGGGTCACAGCAGTTGTCCCCTCTGCTCGCTCTACCCCTTCACACAATTGTCATTGGGGAGGGGTACGAGGGGGGGTTATCTCCAGAATCAGATGAAAACTGCAGGGAGGGCACTTTCTCACAGCTCTTTGGCAACCTCGTCAGAGCCCCGCCCAGTCCACTCACTCACTCATTTGAAGCATCCATTCAGTGCCTGCTTAAGAGATGAGGACACAGCACAATCCCTGTGCTCAGAGCTTACAGCCCGAAGGAACTGACAGAAGTTAAGTTCAAGAGCGTTAGGGACAGCTCCCCAGTCAGGGCGCAAAACACTCTCCAAAAGCACTCGTTCAGGAGAAACAGAGCCGGCCATCGGGACCTCTACCTTTAAAAAAATAGCGCTCATCTCTCCTCCAAGTCCAGATGTGGACGAAGGCGTCTATGTTCTGTGCTGGGACCCCGCGCCAGCCGGTGAGGATGGGGAGGGGGTCCCCGTACCGGGTCCGGTTGTTCCGGTTCTCGTACAGCCAGTACCAGCTGTTGCGGAAGAGATAGGTGCCGAACCGCGCCGTGGCGTCCCCGTGGGGGTTCCGCTCCTGGCGAATCCAGTCGAAGGCGGTGTCAAATGAGCCTGCGCAGGAACCTAAGAAAAAGCCCGGCCACTTGCCACCCGGCGCCAACACCAAGGGTTCCTGCTGTCATGGTGACTTGTGCAGAGCGTGGCTAAGCCAAGCATCCCATGGAGTCGCCTGAGAGTAGGCCCCCCATGAGGGGAAGCAGCCCCCGCCCTGCG